TACACTCCTTGGAGAGAACAATCATGAGAGAAAGAAAAACTGCTTATGCAGTGGGAGACAGCTCAGGGAGCAGGAGTGCATAGAGGGATAGACACAGGGAAGAGGTAACCATCAGGAGGAAGTAGGAGGGGAGCTGTTGCATTGTGGTAAATTGTGGTCAATGTCATAAGACTAAGTATATATGAACTGCTGTATGGAAAATGAATATGCTCTGTAAATTTTCACCCAAAAACAATATAAAAAATAATTAAAAAAAAAAAAAAGATTATGACAAATTGGACAGATACAGAATGTGTGGCACTCTACAACACAACTGGCCTGAACTCTTAAAAAATAAAAAAAAAAGCAATGTCATTTAAAAACAAAAAAAATAGAGAGGATTATTCTATTAGATTACAAGAGACTAAAGATACTTTATCAGATTTAGTATATGCCTTTCCCATCCATTCTTTCACCTCCACTTACCCTTTGCTCTGAGCAGCCCTACAAAAGCCTTACACATCTAGCCTCCTGGTCTCACCTCATTTTTTCACTTCCTCACTTCAGTTTTACCTGTTAACCACAAAACTGGATACAACTACCTTTTGCACCCACAACTTCACAATCCTGAATGTAGGAGAGATGCTGTCCACTAGAAGCCTATAAATAAATTCTCTCCCTTTGTTTCTTTGCACAGAGACTACTGAGATGCACTTTATATGGCTTCTCAGGGATGCAATACCAAAGATTCAACAGTCAGTTATCCTTAGTGACAGGAAGTATTCTTGTTTAGGTTCTTCTTCTTCCTTTCTGTTTATTCACCTCGTCCCTCACTTGTGCTCTCCAAGAGTGAATTCCCTAAATAAAATACTAAAGTAACAGCACCTAAGCCCTTTGTCTCTGATTCTACAGGAAAACTGAGACAAAGATAGAGACCTAACAATCAAGGGCAATTCATGAACCTTGACTGAATCCCAATTAAAAGAAAAAAAAGTACTAAAAATAATGGATTGGGAGCAATTGTGAATATGGATTGAGAATGCAATTAAATAATTATTGCTAATTATCTTAGATGTGATAATGATGCTAATGTTACACAGGACAATGTCTTAACTATTATTCTTAGGAAATGTGTGCTGAATTTTCATAGGTTAAGTACATGAATGATATCTGCAACTGATTTCCAAATGGTTTCCCAAAAATTACAAAATATAGAAAAAGCAAGTATGTTGGCAACTCTTGAAACTGTATGGATATTTGTTGTGCTATTCTTCCCATTTTACTCTATCTTTGAAATTTTTCATAATAAAAAGTTAGAAAAAAATCATCTTTAGCTTATTACTTAATTACAGTTTGAGAAGTTCTTACATTCAAAAAATATTTACTAAGTAACTACTATATGCAAGTACTGCATGTATTTCCATGAATAACATTGTCCCAAACCACTGGGGACTTACAGTCTATTAAAAAAAAAAAAAACAGGTGCCCTTGATGATTCTGACTCATTGTAATTTCCTGTATATCATGGTGGAACTGTGCTCCATAACGTTTTCAATGACTTGATTATTTGGAAGTAGATCACTAGGCCTTTTTTCCAAGGCACCTCTGGATGAACATAAACCTCCAATCTTTCAGTTAGTAGCCAAGCATGTTAATCGCCTGCATCCAACGACTCCACATAGCCTACTGGCTAGACAAAAACACACATAAAATAAAATATGGTGAAATCTATGAGAGCTGGAACTCACCAGGACTTCCTTGCTTTTCCAAGTCTCACAAGTTTTCCTCCTCTAATAGGGTGTAGTGTTAACACTTTTGTCTCTTTCCTTTCAGTGGAAAATTAATTTTCCTTCTCTAACAGGTTTCTACCTTATACAGATTCTGTTGCAGGTTTTACTGTATATGAGTATTTAATTTTAACAGTGATGAATATTATCAAGAGGTATAAAGTGGTACAGAGACTCTGACTTAATCTGAGAGATAAAAGAAGGCTTCTATCAAGAAGTGGCCTTGTAGTGATCCTTGACACTCTCTTCTTATTCTCACAACCCAATTCCAATCCGTGTCAAATCCTAGTATTCTATATTCAAAATATCTGTAATTTAGCCAGTTAATAAGCACTTCCACCCCCATCACTCTAGTTCAAACTAAGATCACTTAAATGGACTCCTATCAGATCTCCTGCTTCTACTTTTTTTCCCACTACTATGTATTTTCAACACAACAGTCTGAGTGATCCTTCTAAAGGGTAAATCAAATAATTTCACTAATGTCACTTCCCTTCTCCAAAACCCTGCAATGGCTTCATATGATCTGTCCCTGCCTTATTCTTGGACCTCATCTCCTACTACTCTTTCTCTTACTTACTTTGCTCTAGCCAAACTGGCCATCTTGCTATTTCTCATATATTCCTGGGTCACTACTGTCTTAGAGCCTCTGCATTGCTTATTTCTCCCAACTGGAATGTGATTTCCCAGAGAGCTACTTCAACTTCCAACTCTTTAAATGAAGAGCACCTTCTTAATGAGGCCTTCAGTGACTACCTGTTAAGAACTGCAAAGTTCTTCCCCCATCTGGCATTCCTGATTCCCTTTAATTAGCTCTACTCTCTCCTCCTATATCACTTATCATCTTTTAACACAGTAAATAATTTATTATTTATTGCCTGATTCCCCACTAGAATGTAAGCTCCATGAGGCCAAGGATCTTTGTTTTGTTCACTGATCTACTCCAAGTACATTATTCAATGAATGATACATAATAGGTTCTCTATAAATATTTGTTGAATAAATGAATGAATGAAGTGACATTTAAATTGGAGTGCTAAAAATGAGCAAGAATCGGCAAAGGAAGAGGAAATTTTCTATACAGAGGGAACATTATATGGAGTCCCTGAGGCAAGAGGAAATGGGCCAAATAGGAAAGAATTCTAAAAGGCAAGGTGGGGGGGGGGGGCGGCAATGGTCAAATAATGAAGGAGTTATAAGTGTCATTAAGGATTTCCCACTTCATTCTGACAGGAATAGAAAGTTACTGAAGGGTAATGACATGATTTGCATATTACAAAGATAATCTTGTAGGTAAAGTGATAATAACTTTAAAAGAGGCAAGGATGCATGCAGATAGACCACTTAAAGGGACTATTACAATAATTGAGACAGAAAATGAGAGTAGCTTAGACTAGACTGGCAAGAATGAAGACAGATTCAAATGCTGACTCGTGAAATTTTGAAAACAGCAGTTAAGTATTATGCATGTGAATGTGAAAAACAAAACTTAAATCTGTCAAACAATATACTAGAATATGTTTATGGTCTTGGAATTGGAAAACACTTTAATAGCCACAAAACGTATTATCTCTAAATTGGACTATATTAAATTTAGTAAACTGTGATCATTAAAAGGTACCATTAGAAAAGTTAAAATGCATGCCTCAGAGTAAGAGAAAATATTTGCAATATACACATACAACAAAGGATTCACATTCAGATCAAGAAGTCCTACAAATCAATAAGAAAAAAGATTACTCAACAGAAAAATGGACAAAAAACTTGTATACCTCACAAAAGATAGCAAAATGAACATTAAGTATACAAAAAGGTGCTTACTTGTTAATACTGATAATGATAGGGAAAACGCAAATGGAACAATATGAAGTACCACTACATAACTATTAGAATGGCTAAAATTATCAATAAACAGACTAATAATGACGAGTGTTGGCAAATATGTGAAATAACCGAAATTCTCACATACAGTTAGCAGTTATGAAAGCAGTCACTTTGCAAAACAGTATTTGTATTATCTATGAAAATTAAACATACGTATACCAAGTATTTTCACACAACAGAAATTATATGCACAGGTGACCAAAAGACGTACCAGTCAGTTCTACCATAACAACTATATTGAACATGGAAATGTGCTCCGATATGATTGATGTATCTTTAAAATCAAGGAGAGGGATCTGATAATCTCTGATTGTTCCTGCTTCAAATTCTTAACTCTGTGCTACTTAATTAAAGGTAGCTCTGGTGACATAGTGCCTAAGGCACTTGACTGCTAACCAGAAGGCTGGAGGTTCAAACCTACCAGCCACTCCTTGGAAGGAAGATGGGGCAATCTACTTCTGTAGTGATACTGCCTCAGAAACCCAAGGAGGGTCGCTATGAGTCAGGGCCGACTCAACGGCACATAACAACAACAACATGCTACTTAAAAGAGAAACTGAGAAACTACCTCATTACCAAAGGGCTATCTGATTGCTACTCACTATTTTTCTCTGATTTATTATACACCAAACAGAAGCTGATTAAATTTTCCAGGCCTATCTAGTTTATCAAAGTACTAACTGGAAGAGACTAGAATCAAATTCAGACAATCACCTTCAAATGACTAAAGGTTCTCAGGCAGAATCCTTATTATAATATGCTTCTATATCTCCACTCTACCAAATCTGAGTCTGCTAACAACAGATTTTTTTTGTATAGCACAACAAAAAAGAACCTTATTAAAATAGCTGTGAAAACACAAGAAATAAGCAGTTTTAATTACAGGAAAATGCAGAAACCAGTGCTGACCGTAAGGGTTACTGATCAGTCTCTAGTGAGTTTTAGTAACGCAAGCCTTCAGGCCAATAAACAGATCTCCCTGGAATAGATGGACAACTGAACTGCTCACGACCACAAAACTGCATTCTATTTCTCAGATGGAATACCAAAGCAAAACTGTCTTTTCAAAGTACAGTTTCCATCTTCATTATCACACAGATGGAGCCTCATTAAGGTCTATCATCAATTAAAGTATTTCTTACCAGTCTACAAGTATTTCAGACCATTAACAACATTTTAAGTTAGGAGCACCAGAGATTCTGAATTTTTATTTTCAAATATATTTTTAACTGCTTTCTCTATTCCATTATGAATAATTTCCACAAATTATTCATTTAAATAAAATGAAAAAGTAGTCCAAATAAACCATCACTGGAAAACAGTTTCAGAAAAAAAAAAATTATCTCTTACCTCTACACTAGGACTAAGGCTACTTGGCAGGGTGTCTGAAGTCACAGTAGTGCTTGGAAGGCTGGAAATTTCCCAAGCATTCACAGGCTGTATTGGTTCAGACTGCTTTAAACGTTCTGTACATTTTGGATTATCCAGTAAGGTCACTTCATAAAATTCTTGAATATCTAGAAGTAAGAAAAGGAAAAGAAAAATTCAAAAATATTTACATCTTCTAATTAAACTATAAAATGCTAAAACATAACTCAAAAACAGAATGTTTAATCTTGATTAATAAAATAAATCCAATATTATAATATAGTTTAACAGTAAACATGTTCTTATTTCATGATGTCACAATCACATTAGAACCCGTATGGTATACTGTAACAGTCACTGGCTTCAAAGTAAGTCCTGGGCTCAAACCCCAACTCCATCACAAATTAGCTCCATGTTTAGGGCAGTTACTTAACCTCTGGTCACTTGCCTCTTATCATTAAGAACTGTTGCAAGGATTGGATGTAATATACATAAAGTGGTTAGAACAATACCACAAAATAGGCTCCTGATATATGGTAGCTAACATCATTCTTGAGAATTCTGCAGATGTGTCATTACTGATACTTTGTATCTTTACCACCAATATCCAGGCTGGAAATGTAAACCTTTCAAGTGGTGTTAATTGCCCTGTAACCTAAGTAAACCATAAGAAAATAAATGTTGAAATAAAACTAAAGAATTTAAGGAGCTTTTAGATATCCACTAGTTCAAATACTCAGAAACAGTTAAATATTTTATGGTTTTTTTTTTAGAACAATCAGTTACATACATGACAAAACTCTAAAAGGAACCATAAATTTACTTATACTAGCACAGGATAATTTAAAAGATCATGTTCTTTGCTATCACCTAGAATTATATGGATGAAATATTTAACAAGAGCTGTGATGGTGCTGTAGCTAAGGCACCAGGCTGCTAACCAAAAGGTCAGCAGTTCAACCCACCAGCCGCTCCATAGAAGAAAGATGAGGCAGTCTGCTTCTGTAAAGATTTATAACTTTAGAAACCCTCTGGGGCAGTTTTACTCTATCCTATAAGGTTGCTATGAGAGTCAGAATCCACTTGATAGCAGAAGGTTTATTTTATTTTTTTAGTGTATTAATATTCATTATATATAACTGAATGGCAGTTATGTAATACTTAAGTTTATCACTATTAATTTTTTATTCACCTACTGATATAATTTTCCATTGATTTTTTAAAAGAAGAAAATTATTATTTAACAATGGAAGAAGGTATTATACTGTACAGAATCATGGACAGTAACTATAAGTAACATTTAGATAAAATAACTTTTAGTTTCTCACTGTAGTGAAATGTTATCACCTTTAAAAGATAAACCTCATATGAAAGAAACCAAAAACTCAAAGTATCACTTACAAAACTATTCTTACTAAAAATTGTTTAACTTGAACCTAAACAAATTTTTAGAACCAAACTCTAGTTCACAGGAAATAAATGAAGAAAAAAGTAAAATGAACCTAAAGAAAGCATTGAAACAATTTCAGAAGGTAGGACACTCACAAAAAGGGAAAAGAAATAGTTTTAAAGTGAGGACTGTTCTATATAAAAGAAACTAAAATGACATGGCAAATTGTTGAAATGGTATCATTTGGCCAAAATGAAAAAAATATTAAAAGTAAACAAAGACCAAAAAAAAAAATTAAAAAGATATGGCAGAGGCGGGGCAAGATGGCGGACTAGGCAGAAGGATTGCACAGACCCTCTTCAACAAAGAAAAGGGAAACCAATAAATACAGACACAGAAGATAATCTTGGACCCCTGAGCCTTGAAGGAAAGGATGCAGATTTGGACTAAACCCCAACTAGCAGAAGAATTTGC